CGAGCAATAAGTGATTAATCCTCTGTTTTGGGAGCAGAGAGCTGGCACCTTTAACCAACACAGTCTGATTTTAAAGAACAGTCTTTGTGGGGAAGAGTTAAAGCATTATTTAAGCAGGTATAAAGAGATTAATGCTAAAGATTAATTGGTTTTGTAATAATACTGTGTGTTAGGGCTTTATCAGCATTGTTTTAAAATGTAAAGGTGGAGCTATGGGTTTAATTTTTTTATAGTTGTCCCCTTGGGGAAACTCAGTCAAATATAAACAAGAGGTCTTTGACCCTTAAAAGATAACCTCGCTTGTAACCCCTTAGTGACTGACAGGGGGCATCGCTCATGAGCTCAGCTGCATGGCTAATAGCCCAATTAATGGCATACCTTATCATACATTATCCTGGGGGGGATGCAGAAGATATAGGAATATATGTTACTTGGATGAATGCACACATCCGTCTCTCTTGCATATTTTGTTCTTTTTCTTTTGTCTCCCTTTATTCACTCCCACGTACACACTCGCCTAATTAACGCCTCTCAGATTCAGCTGTGTGCGATAAGCATCTCACTGAGATTGGTCGTCCTGGGTGACCTGTGAACTAAACAGGGCTGCGTTCTCTCCTTGTTTAATGATGAGGTTATGGTGGGTGGTATTAGATGCGTTGGTGAAATGGGATCATTACTTTATCCCTGACCATTCACTGTGGGAGAGGAGGTGAAGGGAGGCCCAGTAGAAGGGAGCTGGAAGTTCATATGTAAATATACACTGCTTAAAAAAATAAGGGAACACATACACAACACAATATAACTTCAATAAATCAAACATCAGTGAAGTCAAACTTAGAAAGCAACACGGATTGACAATCAATTTCACGTGCTGTTCTGCAAATGTAATAGACAACAGGTGGAAATGATTGGCAATTAGCAAGACACACTCAATAAAGGAGGCGGGACCACAGACCAATTCTAAGTACCTATGCTTTATGGCTTATATTAAGTCACCAGTGACTTATATTAAGTCACTGGTGCTTTCACACTCGTGGTAGCATCAGACGGACTCTAAAACCCACACAAGTAGATCAGGTAGTGCAGTAAAATGACTTAATGCTGGCCACAAACATACATGTGTCTGCACAAATGCTAAGAAACCAACTCCATGTGGATGGTATCAGGGCCCGATGTCCACAGCCCAACTCTCTGCATTACATTTAGCATTTGCCAGAGAACAACAGGATTGGCAAATTCACCACTGGTGGCGCCCTGTGCTCTTCAGATGAAAGCAGGTTCATATTGAGTACATGTGACAGACGTGAAGGAGTCTGATGACACCATGGTGAGCGATCTGCTGCATGCAAAATCCTTCAGCCTGACTGGTTTGGCAGTGGGTCAGTAATGGTGTGGGGTGTTTTTTTTTTTCTGGAGGGCCGCACAGCCCTCCATTTGCTCATATGGAGGTAGCATGATTGTTGTTTGATTCAGAGACCAGATCCTCAGACCCCTTGTGAGACCATATGCTGGTGCGGATGGCTTTGGGTTCCTCGTAATGCAGGACAATGGTAGACCTCATGTGGATGGTGTGTGTCAGCAGTTCCTGCAAGAGGAAAACAGGGAAACTATGGACTGGCCTGTCTGTTCCTCAGATTTGTCATGGTCTTGGTGCCGAAGGTTGGCTTAATTGTTAATTCTATTCACCTGTCTAATCTGTCCGGTTGCTCATTACCGTTCATCTGATCCACCTGTTTCCAGCTGCTATTTATGCCTCCCTGTTTCCCTGCCATCGGTCCCAGATTATTTGAGCTTTGTTTGAGAGTTTTCTAGCAGTCTGTTAGGGATGGAACGGTTTATTAAAACCCTCTGAACCGCCAGCAGCACTTTATAGGTCTGCTGTATGGGACCACTTTGCATTTAGAGTGACCTACGATGACGGCGGAAAGAAAGTTGTGGATAAAAGTGCAACAGTGTGCAAGCATTGTGCAACACGTTTTGTTTATGCTAACAGCAACATGACCAACATTTTAGCTCACCTGCGGATATATTGATGATTATAATATTTACTGGATTATTTATTGTGTTATTTTAGATAACACAGTGGCACTTCAAGTTGATAAGAAATCCAGCCTTATTTATTTGATTGTATTTCAAACACTGCAGAACAAACTGAGTTTTGATAATCAGGGAATTGAAACATGTCATTTTATCTTGAGTTAATTTCAAACAAAGGGACCTAAGTCTAGTTTTAATAGAGCCTATGCTTCTTTGTTAAAGATTGTTTGCCAAATAAATGAAGCACATGTTGGAACTACCTCTCTTGCAATCCCAGAATCTCACCTACTTTTAACCTAAGACTGTCACAATGATGTAGCAAATGTCAGACTGCTTTTTTCTTTCAGTTTTGACTTGACTATATGAGACATAATAGATTTTCCTAGCAATCAACATATACCGAACCGAACCCAAAACCGTGACGACAAAACTGTGAACCGAACCAAACCGTGAATTTTGTGAACCGTTCCACCCCTACAGTCTGTGAGTTTCTCATTTCCTGATCCTGAATAGTTTCTGTCCCCGGATATCTAAGTTTTGGTTGCCCCTGTTCTGCTCTGTTTTCTGATCGGTTTTTGTACTTTTACCTGGATTCTGCCTACAAACTACCTTGGACCTGTCTTCTGACTCTGGCTTGGATCATCCCCTTGGTACCTCTGCATCTTTCTGATCCTCTGGTCTGAAAACCCGGCTTCTTTATCTGCTCTGGATTCTGTCTCTGGACTCTCCTGCATGTATTATAATAATAATTGTATTATAATATATATTTATAGAATTAGATCAAAGATGTGAATGTAGTGAAAGCTAATGTAAGCCAAAAAAAAAAAACATTTTACATTATGTTCATGGTACTAAGGGACTATAATGCAGTATTCACTTTTTGGTCAGCATCAGTGTGCAAATTGACAACATCCAGCTATTGTGCCCAATATCTTGCCAATTTCACGAGTCCACTACAGTCACTTTCATGTCTTTGTTGGAACATTTTTTCCTTAGAAAAAGAGGCTGCCTCATAATTATGCCCACCTTGATATAGGATGTTTATCGTCTTAGCCCCCACCCTCCTTCTGTACACAAATACACATTGGCTGATTTGCTTATTCCAATAAGCATTCATGTTTATACAGCTAGGAGTTGGAAAATATGCATAAAACGGATGGTATGGCAAAAAATGCAACTCGCCTAATAATTGTGCACACAGTGTGTGTGTACATAAATGAAGGAATGAAGGATGTAGGGTATTCTCAAAGGTGCTTCTGGAGGTCTAATGTTATTGCTCATGGTGATCATGAAATTGTACTGTGAGAATATTTATGACATTATGGTATTTGGTTATTTGATAACTGCAGCTTTGGATTAATTTGATATAAAAAATTTAATTTTCCTGATGTCTCACCTACGAACATGCTCTCTGTTTTCAAATATATTGAAATTGCTTTATAAAAGCATCAAGAGTTTGAAAAAAGAGGGAAATAAAAAATACAGGGAAAGGTGTGAATTCTGTCCACCTCCAGTATTAAGAGGGACGACCTCTTGCTTTACTGTACATTTACAGCGAACATGCAAGGAATGAAATTGTCTAAATTACTTAACCTTCAAGCAGATGTGACAGCATACTGTAGGGCAGGGGTCACCAACCTTTTTAAGGCCACTTCATGGGTACTGAGTCATAGGAAGGGCTACTAATACGGACCCATGAACTGCCAGGGTATGCGGCCACCTTAACCTTGTACATATAAACATATTTTTATTGTATCTTTTCATTTCTAAATCTATTTCAGACATTTTCATTTTGAGATGTTCTATAAATTAAAAAAGGAAGAGCAAAAGAATACAATTTAAGACTTAGCCCACTGGCGAGTTTTTCTATTTTCAGAAGACTCTGTGGGCACCCCATGTGGTCCCTGTGGCCACACGGGGTGCCCTCAAGGACCACATGGAATTCGGCACATTCACCAACAAAACAATCAAAACACATCCACAACAACCAATTTCAACACTAAGCAGCTAAATAAAAAAATGGAAGCTAAAAAACGTACAACACCACTAGTGCAAAACTTTTCCATTGATTAAAGAATTAAAGAATGCTGGGCGGAATAGCTCATATAGAAAATGTGCTGAGTTGTTTACATTGTAAGACAAACATTGAAGGAAAAACAAGTTGAGCTTATTACTAGTTTAGAGTGCCACCACTGCCTGGCATTGGGGGAGTCCAAAGAAAATTGTTGCTGCTATAATATCCTGCCATTTGTTGCTTTCATGTGGCTCCATACAATAAGTCTAATCTCTAACCGTCGCTTCAACCTCAATGCCTCCTTCTATCCGTGTCCGAATTGCATCGCTAACTGCAATACTCCCACACAGCGAGAAGATTCCAGCGGGGCTGGTCCCCCAATGTGTTAACACGGTAAACAATTATCAGTCTAGCCCAGAGCTAGCTGCACAAACCCCCCACCCCCCCACCCTGTCTTTCACCCACTCTCATCTTTCCTCATCTTCTCTCTAACCGCAGCTTAAGTAGAATGTTAATTTGGGTGGGAGATTTTCAAAGACGAGCCACTTCCTTTTCATCTCAGTGTGCACCGCAAGTTCACCAGCTCAAAGTCGACGAGCTCAAATAAAAAGGAAGTTGTTGTTTTTTTCAATTCTGTACATTTTTTTTAAACTCTTTTCTCTCTCAGTTCTGTGTGTCTTCTGTCTTGTCATACTGGTTGAAAAAAAGAAGAAAAGCTGTATTTCAAGGTGACTGTTTGCCATCCAGATCTTCTTTTAAAAGTAAAATCTATTTTCCATCTAACCTCCATTTTCTGAGATGATGGAAATTACTTGGATATGAACAACTGTTTGTTTACCAATTGCTTCTGGTACAGTTTTTTTTCTCTTTATCGAGTTAAATATGCCAGAAAAAAGGGTGTTTGTTATAACAGTCATCCGCGTGGTTGAATATAAACTCATCCATTCAGGATAGTCAGATTCCAAAGAAAATCATCTCAGTTTTTATGTTTTCCCACCTCTCAGCTGATTGCAGAGCTGCAGACATCTGTATGTGACTCTAAAGAGGAGGCTGTGCGCCTGCAGCAGGCCATGGAGAAGCAGCTGAAGGAGGTCAACGCTCGGTGGGATGAAGAGAGACAGACGATTACCCAGAATGCCGAGCAGGCCAACAAGGTTTGTTCTTGTCATTTCTTCACATTAGTGTATCAGATATAAGGAGGTCATTGTGACCTTTCTAAAGGCATGCCCTGTGTCTACCTTGTTTCCTTATTCAACTGCCCTGGTTTCTTCATTATTATCCCTTGCTTTCATCCTACCTGCCTTTTATTTCCTTTTCCATATTTTTTTTTTTACCTCCTCTAAATCCTTTCTCACTTTACCCTGTTTTTATTCCTTGCTTCCATCTTTCGTTCTTGTCAGTCTTTCAGTCGCATTAATGTTTTAAATCATCAAGGCTTGTTGATTGACCTATTTTGATTGCATTCCAATTAATGTGTGTAGAAAAAGATGCTTTTCTTCTTTAGCCGCTTTCATCACCAAACACAACCATAATGACTCAGAGTGACAAGACGCTACAGCTACAAGTACGTCATCTGTTTCACCAGGGCTAATATCAGGAAATAATGTTCAGGTCCGATTTTTTGTGTGAAATCCGATAGATTTCAAAATGTATGCAACTTGTATGTGATGTCCTGTTTGAACTGCATTCACACTATTTAAGTGTCACGTATGCGCAGTAGAGGACGCAATGATGTCACAAACAAGTGTTCTCTGGGTTTATGGAAGTAAACATGGATGGTAGTGCTGGAGCGCATCTTGCAATCTTTCATTTATTTCGCAACCTCAGCTAGTGATTTAACCACACTATTTTTTCAAGAAGGTTAATTATCGTCCGCCATGGTTGTTGTTTTTCTTCCAGCTTCTGCATAGCCACACACAGAACAGTGATCTTTGTTGAGTATTAATGTACTCTGTGCTACAGAACTGTAGCCATTAAATGCGACCTAGCTGTTCACGCACAGGTTTGAAAAGGTCAGATACGTATCGGATTCAGGACCACATAGCCAAGTGGCTTGGTTTGCATTGGAAAAATTTGGATCTGTGTCTTTCAGACTGCCATGAAAAGATCAGATACAGGTTGCATATGGGCAAAAAAAAATCTGGATTTCGGTCACTTCAGGCTAGAGTCCTGCAACGGGTCGGGTACCCGCGGGTTCCCCTATGGGTCACCTGCTAAAATGCTCTATTGCGGGTGAAAAATACATAAATAAAAATAAACGGGTTGGGGGTCGGGCGGATATTTTTTTAGTGCGGGCGGTAGTTGGTGATTTTTTTTTATGCGTGTCTGTTGTTATGGACATCAGAAATGTTATATTAATCAGGCACTGGGGTCACCCTTGTTGTAGCTTAAAGCCCTGCTGGCAGTGGGGGCTTCACTCCAAAAAGGCCACAGTCATACACTGCATACACGTGCTGCAGTGTTAATGGCGCTGTTCTGCAGCGCAGCGTACTATAGCCTATTACTTGATGTGTTAACGGGTCGGGTTGCGGGTTGAATATCAACGGGTCGGGTCGGGATCGGATTTGAATTGAAGATATCCGCGGGTAACGGGTCGGGTTCGTTAGTCATCCTAAAGGGTTCGGGCGGGTGCAGGTTGGTAAAACTCGACCCGTGCAGGACTCTACTTCAGGCTGGTGAGTAATCGTAGCTCAAGAGTGTTGAAAATATATAACCTAAATGTTTATAACACCCTTATTTATTAACCATTGTGCCATCTTAACATTCTGTTTACTCTTGTCCTATGGGACAGAGATGACCCGCCGTACAAAAGCACCAAAATAATGCACAGTGTGTTTTTCTTACATTTGCAGCACACACCTTATATCTTACAGTCCTTCTTCCAGGGGCAGAACAAACACCTTTTTCTCCTGACTGACCCAGCTGCAGCCTCAGGTGATCAGGACAGTTTTCATTTTCTTGAACAGCTTCTATGTTGACTGCAGAGGCTTCTGTGCAGCTCCAGCACTCATTTTTCTCATTGCAATCTTCAACTGCTTAAGGAACATCCTTCTCTTGATTTTCCTTCCTGACATCCAGGTCGATTTGATCTCACGGAAACTTGTATTTTCCAGGATGATTTATTTTATATTGGCTGGTGTGATGAAGAGGAAAAAAGGTGGATGAAATGTTCTGGACATGGGAAGCCGAATACCTTATTGGCCCTGGAGTCTTCCTTGTCATATTTGGTGCTGCTGCTCTTCCATGGCTTTGACTTATTTCAATGAGGATGGTGCAATTATGCAGTTCCTTGACAAACACGTCTCTCTGTCAGCTTGAGGGGTTTCCTCTTCTTCATCAGATGATGCCTCTTTCTGTTGGTGCAATCCCTCAAAACCTCCCCCTTAAGATAAATCGTCATCCTCTTGTTCCTCCTTAGCTTCTGAAATATCTCATCCAGGAACTGATGACATGTCTTCTCGAGGCCTCAGCAAGGAACCAACTAGGGGTACATTGATTCAGTACACCTTTATTTATTATGTCAGATATTGTTTTTGTTTTGTTTTGGAGCTTGTGCAATGTGAAGGGTTCGCTGCAGACACTGTCCAGCCTCTGAACTTTTTTCAAATGCTTTCGTATTCCACAGGTCAAAAATGAACAATATGCCAACATTTGTACCCTGGTGGTGTAAAGCCCATTTGAAAACACCAATAAAGAAAAAGTATAACGTTTTCTAATGATGGGGTAATTTTAGTAGGTCGTAAAGATTCAAGTGGGAAAAAGATTAAGGTTAAGGTATTTTTTCCTACTGCTAAACATATATGAACACAACATAAATGTCCTTAATTTTTAAAATGATATTTGATCATTTCTGGAACATTTTTACAGTATTATAAGCCAGCTTGCTGAAAGCTTAGGTAAGATGAGGACATTAGCCCACTAAGTATTACATCTCGTGATTATACGGACTTTTTGTCATTTATTGACAAGTGGGTCAAGTAAACAGTTGTCTGCAAACTTCATGCTTAACAAAAGCTCTGTCTGGCTTTGACAGAAATGGAGCAGAAACAGGCGCTGGTCTATTGTTAAAGCCTACTCTCTGTTTGCATGTGCTTTGTCATTTTTATGGCTAGTTGCAAACTCCATAGTGTATTTAAGTGACACGCATGCTCTCTGTCTGAGTGAGCTTATATATGCGTCTACTGCACCCCATGCCTTTATCATCACTGTCATTCTGTTATAACTCCACACTCAGACTTAAAGCTTGTAACTGTTTATGTCCCTAAAATACAAGCTAATTCCCTTCAGCCCTATTTAAAATGTATAGAAACAGCAACATCCAGATGTGTGTGGATGACTTTTTTTAGTCATAAGGTCCTTTATTGTGCTTGAAGCAGACTGGAAGACAGTTTCCCTTGGCAGTTGATTGGGTGTGGCTCCCTAAATAAAGAGTTGTTGTGTCTGGGATCGGTGCATGTTTCCAAACACAACTTAGTCTGTTTGTGGCTGCAGCTGCCTCGCTTAGAAAGAAGGCAGGTTTGTGAGACGGATCTCAGATCTTTCCTGATTTTATGCACAAGTCTTCATTCTAACAGGAAGTAACAACAACAGGAAGTGATGACCATATCCCACAGATAAGAAATAATATCTTCTGTTGTAAGCTATTCTGTATTAAAGCAAATTATTAATGAGGAAAGCATTGTTCTCTGATACCCAGCCTCAGTATAAAATCAGTTTTATTATGTTATATTAACGATATCTTCAGGTATAAATAATTGAACTCATGTAATTTCTTTAAGGCCGGTCTTACACTGTACGATATTTTTAGTCTTGTACTCAGCTACAGCTCAAACTGTACAACGAAACCCCAGGGTTTTAAAGTTCACAGCTCACAATGTATGTTTTTCACCGTACCTGTACACGGCCACTCGTTACTCCCTGTATACCACATGACGCAGGAGGCACGTCTGGAGAATCGGCCCAAAAAGGGCAAAAGCTGCTATAGTTTATGCCTGCACTAAATGAACGAGATTCAGTCAGTTATTTTTATGTTCTGACCTGTAGTTCTGATCTAATGTTTACTTAAACTCATTCTGAACATAAATGGTTATTTTAAGTATTTAACTGTTATTCAAGCCAAGTTCTATTTTTTCATAGAGCCATTGATTCCCCGGGATGTCTGGTCATTTTGAACAATGTTCCGCGTTAATGCTAATTCCAGGAACTAGTTTAATTTTTTTGTTGCTATCTGAAACACAAAATAAAGACCTTTGCTCATACAACACTATATGAAGTCCAAGGAACCCATAACACTTTGCATTCAATTATTCACCAAATCATTTACACACTGGCACACTGTTGCTGTTATGGTACGTACACACTTTAAGGAGCAAGAGCAGCAAAAACGCTTGTGCTGCTGCACGGTGGAAAGTAGGTCTGATGCGCGTTGGGCGGAGCAACCCTATCCTTTCTTTGCCTGTAACATGGCAGCTATATATGCTGTGATCAGTGGGTAAATAGTAGTTTTATTATGTTTTTCAGTGAGAAAGGCCACCTGAAAACTTCATCTGTGCAGTCAGTTCATCCAGATTATCATCCTGCCTTCAAATATTATTTCGCTGTCAGAGCCGCTCAGACCCCCACATACCGGCGGTGTGCTGTCCGTAGGAATCCTATTGAACAGCAGACTATGGCCCAGTCGCCTCTTCGCGGTTTGCCGTGGCAGCTTGAAGCTGGTTTTCATGCTCAGAAGCTTACGATGCGCTGCTTCAGCTGCTCCTGCTGCTCAAAACACGCAGCGGGACCTTTTCTTACGCCTTGATGTGTGTCAACCATTGACTTTGCAAGTAAACTAGCTGGTCCTGCTGCCTTTGCTGCTTTAGCTGTGAACATAGAGTTAAAGCCAATTTATACTTCTGACTAAATCTGTCTGCAACCATCGTCACACACCTCAAAAAAATCCTGACCACACAAGGGACGGTCACAAACCCGCGCAGACCTCAAGCGGAAGTGTGCAGACAAAAAGCAGCTGTGATTGGTTCTTGGTTCAGCCTTTCCGGCTGTCTGTGTGGTTGTCCTCGATTCGGTGCCAGGGTGCGCCATTTTTAAAAACCGAGGCATTATAACAACAATGGATAACCAAGATGAAAGGTTGATCGAGAAGGTTCGGAAGTGC